TGCAAAAACCGTTCTGAATATTTCTCTGTTGCAAATTTTTTGACATTTCGTCTTCCCTTGCGGTTTACAACTTGAAAATTAGCTTCATCACTCCAAATAACTTTTAACCAGTCTTCAACAGTCCAGCTTAATCTTTCTTTTGACCATATTCGCCGTTTACGTCGGTCCATGATTGATAAATTAGGTTTTCTTGTTGCAATGTATGTTCCAATACCTTTTTGCAGCAATGTTCGCCTAACGAGCTCTCTGCTTACATTATGTTTATTTTTCGACTCGTTGAAGATTTGTGCTAGCTTTTTGTAGCTGTGCCTAGGATTCTCTCTGCAGCTTCTGAATATGCTACATTTTTTACGGTCACTAAGCTTCGATGGTCTCCCGGAACGCGGCATGTCAACGATGTCCTTGGTAAGCTTCCAGGTTTTGACTGCTTTTCGTATGCTGTGAACTTTTGACTTAGACATACCAATAATTTGCCATTTGATCTCACTTGAAACTGGTTTTCACCCCATTTGCATGCAATTTGAAATTGTTTGAAATTTGCAATGATTTCAGTTGATTTTTGTTGAATATGAAGCTGTTGAATAATGTTGTGACAATTTTTATTGACTGAAAACCACTCAATTTACTTATGTTTATGTTTTAAAACAATTTTTGCAACGGATTAATTAATTACTTAACAAATAATTGAATTTTAATTAACTTGTTTAAACTTTTATGACACCAATTAATTTCTCACATCTATCTATTAATCAAATTCCCAAGAGATCACTTATGAGTCGAAACCTACTTTTTTTATTTATTTTTGATCAGAAAACCTAGTTACTGAATGGGGAAAAATTGTTTTGATATCTATTTCCGTTATATTTTTATTAAAGAAAAACCAATGATTTGTTCTTAAAGTTACACCTTCGTTTAAACTTTCGTAAATAGCTGTATTTTACCAGTCATTTTAGTTCTAACTTCTTCTAAAAAATGAAAACAGGCAATAAAAATTAGAAAAGTAAAAAACAACCAACAACAAACAAACGTCAAAAAACTAAATAAAGTAAATGAATGGTTTAAAAGCAACAAATTGTCTTTGAATGTTCAAAAAACTAAATTTTCTCTTTTCCACAAACTAAACAAAACAAAATAAATACCGCTTATTCTGCCCAATCTCTTAATAAATAAAATTAACATTAAAAGACAAACATCTGTAAATTTTTTAGGTGTGAACTTTAATGAAAATTTATTACGGAAAATACATATAAATTCTATAGAAAAAATCTCAAAAAACATCGGAATGATCTACAGAGGCCAATTTTAAGTTTTAAGTCCTTAAAAAATTTATATTTTTCTTTTATTCATAGTTACTTAACTTACGGCAACATCATATGGGCAAGTACTAACCACACTAAGCTAAAAAATCTTTATAGCAAACAAAAACATGCTGTTAGAATCATATTTGGAGTTGGTAGAGCGAGTGATTCCTTGTGAACCTCTTTTACGCATAATTAGTGCCTTGAATATTTTCAAACTTAATATCCATCTTTTTCTACAGTTCATGTATAAAACAAAATATGGACTGACACCAAAAATCTTTGAAACTTATTTTAAATAAATACACAACAAATGTGCTACAAGATTTTCCGCAAACCACTTTGCTATTCCAAAATCTCATTCTAAACAGAATTCATATTCAATTCAGAATCACGGACCACTTTTGTGAAAAAGATTCCTAAACATTGTTTCTGAAAAGAAAACTTCTCTACATCAGTTCAAAACTGATTCAAAACAGTTTTTATTAAACACAGATTTTGATTTATTTTATTATAAGTCTTTCTTTTAAAATAGATCAGATATATCAATTATAAATAAAAACAAGATAACTGTTCTTTGTAATCATTTCAAAAAAAGTTAAAAATTTATTGACAATAACCATTATCACAAATCACATTTTCTCGCTTTTTGTTTTTTGTGTGTATATATTTATACTCATGTATATGTATATTTGTACTTATTTATGCGTGTATGTGTATGTGTGTATAAGTATATATGTATATGTGTATATGTATATATATATATATATATATATATATATATATATATATATATATATATATATATATATATATATATATATATATATATATATATATATATTTATTCATTTTTACTTTTATCTTGTCTATTTATGATATTATGTATTAAACGATATCTTATTTTATTTTTTGAATTCTTATAAACATTTATTCAATTTTTCTTATATACTATAAATTCTTTAAAAACTCTGTAAAAAATTATAAATTGTAACACGGTGCTCGGCGATAAGGCAAATTAATGCCTTCTTCTTGCTCCGGCCATTAACTTAATTGTAAATTTTTGTAAACTGTAATACTAATTAAACGGCAAAATATAATGTTTAAAAAAAAAAATCTTTTTTCAGATATTTATAGAATTCTGGATATTATTTTCAACTTTAAGCTTTTCCGGATATCCAAAAAATTTTCCATACATGCATGTTTAGGTATATATTTTTGTGATATATTTGTTTTTTAAGCTTTTTCACTCATCAAATTTTTTCCCGATATATTACCCAAACAATTTTCTGAATTTTTAAAATATGACTTCGATGATCTATGTATATAAACAGCAGTCATTAAGACAAATGAGTATCCATGTGATATCCTATATGGTTTACAATTACTATCTCAATGTTTCCACACTTTTTAAGGTAGTATGCAAAGATTGGCAATAACAATCTAATGATATTATACAGTTAATAAGTAATCCTTTATATAAATATAAAAAGTTTTTTGTGGAATTTTTCATATTTTCTTTGAGTTTTCTAATTCAGGCAATCGACGATTGCCTGCATCATATATAAAAGTTTTATTAATTTATCTCTGTTTGAGAGAATTTTTGGTTAGTGAGTCGACTCTCTTATTATATGCCAAAATATATATTTTTCTTGGTACATACCTAAGCACAACATCAAAATACCCTTATGCAAAAATAGTCTTTAACACCTTGTGGCAAACGTTTTTTGAAATAATTAATCAAATCTTTATTTGATCTCATCCTCTTTACTTTATGTATATATGATACTACCTATGTTTACAAAAGTTGTTTTAGACCATCTGCTGGTCCAGAGGTTATGTTATTTAAAAAATATTTGATCAATCAAGTAAACTTAATTCTGAATCATTGCTCTTAACTGATGCAGATCGCAGAGCATATGATTTGTTTGTACCATCAGCAGTAGGATTTGCTGCTAATGTAATGTAGTGTAAATATGCTGCTAATGTAATGAGATGTAAATATGCTGCAAGGAACAAAACAACCTCGCAATCATTATAAAGAATTTTTGCAACTGTTTATAATTTTTTTAAGAAAAATTTCTCAAGGTCAAAGCAGAATAACTTTTCATACTCCTAGTGCTATGTACCAAACACAATTGAAAGCACTGTAATTTGTTAAAATTTTGTTTCAACATCAATTTCATTTAGCAAAAAACAATGGGCAGAATTTTCAACAGTTTATGTTTTTTTTCAATATATTTACATTAAACAATGGTTTCAAACTCCCATCTTTTCATCTACTTCTCACAATACCCTGACGCTGATTAATGAATTGAATGACTTCAAAATATTTGACAAAGAAGTGGTTGAATCTGCCATAAAAGCAATTGCAGGATATTTATGGTATTTAACTGAGGACTTTGAGAGTCTCTCATTTTTTCAGCAACAATGTTGATAACTAAACTAAAGAAAAAATGTTGATTGCACTTGTAAAGCCAGCCAAGAAAACAATGGTAAAAAAGCATGAAGGCAAAAGAATAATGGATAAAATTGTAAGCATGAAATTGGATGACTTTGTAACAAAGAGATTAAAACGTGTATTTGAAATGCTTGGAATAATTTGGACATTTATGAATGAGCCTTGCGAGACACATCAATTACCAGAAAGGACAAAAACCTGTTATTTCTATGAAAGTTGTGAATGACTCAGCAAAAAAAGGGGTGAAGCTTGTTCAAATTAAATGAAAATCTTGACAAATAAAGAAACTCACAATATATTTTACAAACTGTCCAAGAACATTGACGTCAAATTCCAGATAAGCGAAAGTCCACAACTGTGAGTGCATTATGAAAACAAGTCAACAATTAACAAGTGACAACAAGCCAACAATCTGAATTAAATTAAATAAAATCATATAAATAAAAATAAATTTGAATCCAATAATTAAACTTTCTATTAGATAAAATTTAAAATAAATTTTTTTTTATTTTTAATTCAGCAAAAAGATATAAAAATATTATAACTAGATATAAAAATATCTTAATAATATTTTGTACTGCTTGTTTTTATCAGTTGTAAAATATCTGCAAACACCTATAATAGGTTGTTGCTAAGCAAAATAAAGGTATCGTTAGCAACAAAATAAAAAAATAATACTCTCATAAAAAGTGCAGACATATTAGTACTCATGCTAATTTTAGTGAATATGGCTCTAATATTAATTTAATTTTTAGCGCAGTACTACCAGGGACGCGGTGGGGATCAAACTCTGAACTTCTTGCTTATGAGGCAAGTACTTAACCATTACACTACTACTGTTTTAGTTGAAGCTTCTACTGTTTTAGCTTCTTGAACCTTCTCCGTTTTGTAACAGGTGAAATAGTCTACATATATATAATATACGCCACAATCTTCAGACTTGATAATTTATTTCATTGCATTTTATTTCTAAGAATTTTAGTAAATGAGGTCATTGAAATTAAAAAAAGATCTTTTAAACAAACAAAAAAAGTTTCTTTTTTCACTCTATTTTTGAAAGTTTTTTTCTCTTCATCTTAAATGTTTTTTCACTCTATCTTTAAAGGTTTTTTTTTCACTCAAATTTTTAATGATTTTTTTTTCACTATTTTAAAAGTTTTTTTTTCTATCTTTGAATTTTTTTTAATAATGATTGCAGTATTTGAAAAAAATCAATGAAACTTTAAATGTAATAATTTAAGGGCTTACTCATCTTCTTTGTGAGTCAATTTGTGCAGCTGCTCACCAAAACTTATCTCCTAACCATCCTGTTTTTCAATTGCTTGCTCCACATTTTTTATATATAATGGCTATAAATAGGTTTGTATGTTATTTTTTTGTAAGGTTAGCATTGTTTTTTATTTTGGTACTTTTAGGAAAGCTAGTTAAATTATTATTATTTTTGATGGCCTAAATATTATTTTGTTAAAATAATAGTTTAAAAAAAAAATTTAATAATACTTTATACTTTTATTTTAGTTTAGGATTGCAAAAACTTATTTCCCCTGGTGGTTGGGTTGACAAGACAATGACTGTTGGTGTTCCTGGACTAATGGAAATTCTTAAACGACGGTTTTTTTTTGTTTCTTTTTTCTTTGATTTATAGTAAATTTTAGATTAAAGTCATTACTTAATTCTATTAGTTACTTCATTTTTAAATATTTTTAGTTGGAGAGAGTTTAGATTTGATCGTGACTGCTGGCTTCCTAATGACATAAATGCTAGAGGAGTATGTTTATTTAAATTTCTAATTAAAAATGTATATAGAAATGTCATAAGCAGTCTTGTGAACCCGTGACTCTTTTTTTACAGTTTGTATCTGCCTCTAGTCCTTGTTTTTGTATGCATTACACACTTAATAAAACAATAACATACAAATTTTCAAAGAAGCAATTTTCCACTCAAATTGTCTTTTAAATCAGACTACTTATTTTTGGTCTTAATTCAGTTAAAACATTATTTTAGCTGACTTTTATGGCAAACTTTTAATCAATTAACCTTTTAAGATTTTTTATTGTGCGTTTATTATTGAGATGTATATATTTATAGTGTGAATTTAATTAAATATAAAACTTTTATAGCAAAAAAAAATATAAGTAAATTTAAATAATATATATATAAATTTAAAGTTATTTTCACTGTAATATAAAAAATAGAGCTAATTTGTTAAGTTTGACTGCAGTTAATAATTAGTTGTTCATAGAAAAATTAATTACATAAAAATTTAGATGTGATACTAATAAATAATTTAATTAAATGGTTACATTAAATTACTTAACAATTGGTTTTTTGGAGCTCATTTGAGTAGTTACAAAAAGAGCTTTAAGCGTTGTACTGTGAAATCAAATAAAAATATAACCAACAATAAACCAAACTACTTAGCGTTTTGAGTTTTTTGTTACATCTTGATGATACATAATTTATGTTGTATTTTTTAATATTCTAAGTAAAAAGTACTTATTATGAAACAAATAGTGATAAAATTTACAAACAGGGACGCCATCCATGTGCAACTAGCAGTAAGCAACCCCTAATACGGGTTTTTAGTAATTAAATTAATAATAACAATAAAAACGCATTAATAACTTGATATATTATTTGAAAAATAAAACATTGTTGTCAAGTCCAACTTAAAATATTATTTAGAGGTAAATGAAATTTACCTCTAAGTAATATGCATTAACATCAATTAAGTTATTTATTATTTTAAGAAGAACTTAATTGATGTTAATGCATTAACAACAAATGCATTAACATCAATTAAGTTCTTCTTAAAATGTCATTACACAGCAGGTACTAGAAAAGGAAAGTTAAGTAAAGCCTGCCATTATCTAAAAAAAAGAAATTAAAAAAAAATTACATTAACACCGCTTGACACTGAATTCTGACCAATTACAATTTTCAATTACAAAATACAATTTTCAATTACAAAAGTAATTATAGTTAAATAATTTAAAGAATTATATCGTAAAAATGCAAGCAAGTCATGAAATCTTATAAAAAATCTTATAAAAAAATGTTTAAAAAAGTAAAAAAGACGTGCAATAAGTAACAGTAACTGACTTTATTATGCTAGCAATATACAAAATTATTTTTACCTTAACTAAAAGTTAATTTCCAGCATTTCTTAATTAAGTTCCAGCTTCTCTTTAACTGTTGACTAATGAATAATAGAGTAAATTTCACACCTATTAAATTTACAAAATTAATACCATGTTTCAACAATAAGCAAAATAATCAAGTGATGACAAAGGCAAATAAAAAAAAAATTAAAATCATTTAAATTTAAAACAGTTGTTAATTGTTACTATAAATAGTAAAATTCATACTTCGCTTTGTTCTAAAGTGTCTAATGAAAAATCAAATAATAGACAACAATACCACTTGACACTGAATTCTGGCAAGTAAATTTTCTGTTAATTGAGCAGAATTTCTTACATTTCAACGAAAGTTAATTTTATCATGTCTAGATCTCTTTCAATGGACAACAAATTTTTTCAAGTTGCGTTTTATCATTTACATTATTATCTTCTTCGAGCCTAATATTATACATCATTAAACATATTACCAGTGATTATACTACTGTTACAACTGAATAAATGAACGTAAAATAACTTTACGAGTTGTGATCTTTTCTAATCACATTCTATATTTTAAATTTAAATTTAATAGTATCCATGTATTTTGATAAGTTTATATATATAAGTTATTAAAAATATAAAAAAAATTATTTACATTATTTTTAGACTACAATTCAGAAAGTCATTTTTACCATCAGCCTTAATTTTAATGTACAAAAATAATAAATGCAGAATCTTGTATAAAAAATGAAGCAATGTTAGTCTAAAGTAATATATGTATGTATGTATGTATATATGTATGTATGTATGTATGTATGTATGTATGTATGTATGTATGTATGTATGTATGTATGTATGTATGTATGTATGTATGTATGTATGTATGTATGTATGTATGTTTGTATGTATGTATGTATGTATGTATGTATGTATGTATGTATGTATGTATGTATGTATGTATGTATGTATGTATATATGTATGTATATATGTATGTATGTATGTATATTCCAATTTTTTCTATTCTTTTTTATTTTTTCTCTGAGATAGTATTTATATAGATACAGAGAAATATAAAATATATTGAAATATAGGCACATAAATGTATATTAAATTATCTGTCAACAAATTACAGTAAGTTTTCCATGTTAAATACATAAATAATATATCTAATATTAAATAAATTCAATATAAAATAAAACAAAATATTAAACTTACTCAAATTAGTGACAATTCGACTGTCTTTTTATTATTATTAACCCTTCTATTTAAAAAAGCAAACAATTGATTTGAAGTGACTAAAAAGCGCTTCAGCTCTTTCTAATTGCACTAAAAAATAAAACACATCTTGCTTCACTTAGTTACCTTGTTCTTGAGAATCTAAAAACAAATAAGTAAAAAACCAAGAACATACAAAAATTTATTATTAAAACTACTCTATGAAAACAAATTAAATTAAAACAGAGAACAACATCAATTCTCCAGGAAAGCTGAAAAACATTTCTTAAAAACCTTGCTTGTAAAACCACTTGAATAAAAAAAGCATTTAGAAATGCCTAGAAACTACTTAAAAACGGTATATGCAACATTGAACTTAAAATGTTGACTGGACTAATTATTAGTATACATATTTTAAAAATTCATAAAAATTTACAATGATTTGTTCTTCTATACCACATAAATACATCATATGATAAATATGACGTTAAAAATTGTAAAAAATAAGTAAATACAAAAAAAACATCATATATGAATTGAAAATCAATGTAACTGAGAGGGATAAGCTGTTGTGATACCTGAGTAGTAGTTATCAAATATTGTTATTTCATGATAGCTTTTATAAAATGTTGGTACATCATGGTTCTAAAATATCAAATTGAAATATAAACAAAATGTATTTATGTTGAAATGATTTCTTGAATGACTTTTAGTTAATAAAATAAAGCAGTGAGTTCAAGTAATAAAAAAGTCTATTAATCATTTTTAACAACAGACAGCAACATAAAGATAAGCCAAAGGTAACAACATTACGCAAAAAATTATAAAAAGATGTTATTTATTTTCAGAATAGTTATATTGAAGGCTAGACAACACTTGGATCTAAAGCAGTAACACCGCCTGATTGGTAAGGTTGACAAATCTTGCTCTACCTGTTTGCCAAGTCACATCACTTTGAAATCATGGAAACAACATTATATAAACATATATACTAACTATAAAACACAATATATTTTTTTAATGTTATATAACATATAAAAACAACTTATTTAATCATATACACATTAGATAAAATACGTTCCATACTATTATAAAAACACATTTATAAATACATATTTTTAAAACAACTATATAACATATATCACCACATACACATATTTATCAAAAACTTTTTAACTTTGAGCATAATATAAACATATATACAAACTAAAAACATATATAACTTGAATTGTGCAAAAAATAAATTTAAAAGGTTCATATATATTCATATATAAACATACATATCTTGGTATAAAATATGAAATTATAATCACATTTAAATCAAATAAAATACTTGTTGAATAAAGAACAAAAAATAAAAAAACTGCACTCTTCATAAAAAAATTTAATATTTAAAAACAACAAAATGTCTGTGTTAGCTCAAAGCTTAAATCTTTTTTTCTGAATTTTCTAAAAAAAAAAAAAATTAAGTAATAGCAGCACAGAAATATCAATGTCAATAAAATAATAATCAACATAATAAAATAAATAATAATAATTGAAATAATTGCATTCAATGTATAGTTAATTTTTTTTTTTTTTTTTTTTAAATAAATTCTAAGGTCGTAAAAAAAAACAATTTTATGATAAAGTATTGGAATAATTCACGAGAAATTGCTAAGCCTCATATATACCCCTACTTAGTTTCTAAAAAGTTAAAAATAAGCTCAATAAAAACAAAACTGCTTAAAAAAACTATAAATAAAAATATAGTTTATTTGATATAAAACCTCTACAAATTACTTCATTTGTTCAACAACTGTATTATGACTTCTCCCAATTCTGGAAACACACATTTTCTAATAACCTAAATCTAAATAAATAAACGAATTTTCAACTTAAAAAAATATGTAATTAAATATGAGAATGATTGTGATAAATTTAAAGGGCGCAACTTTATTGGGAAAACTACCGCTACCCTAATATTTTAGAGAAATAAAGTTTTTCAAAAGTAGATCGACCTGGTACTCAAAAAAAGCGAAATTTTATAAAAAAATTCGAAAATAATAATCGTTTTATAAAAATCATATTGCCGCAAAAAATTGTTATTAAAAAACATGTAGAAAGGCACATTTTTTAATTTAAAAAAAAAAAACTATAGTTATTAAGCCATAAAATCTAAATTAATAATTTGTATATAAAAAAATTATTATTTTTGAAATTTTTATAAAATTTCGCTTTATTTGAGTACCTACATCACATAATTTTGAAAAACTTTTTTTTGAATAATAACAGGGCCTGCTAATTTTTGTAATTATAGTTGCGGGTATAAGACATTGTTTAATCCATAAAAGTAAATGCTTTCCTAAATTAGTACATAAAAAAACAACTTTCTAGTCCATAGCCAGGTTAGCAACTCTAAAAAAAACTTTTATGACCCACCCTAATATATAT